AGAACCAAAAGCTACAGAGAAACCCTGTCTCGAAAATCAAAAAAATAAAAAAAATTAAAAAAATTAAAAAAAAAACTATTAAAAAAGCAGTACTTAGATTTGTCTATTAGTGACAACTATCATACTTCAAGCAGTTTCCATTTTTATGGTCTAAAATAACTTAAAAATAGCTCTTTTTCATAGTTCATGCCTGTAATCTCATTTAAGAGGAAACTGACTCAGGAGAATCACATGAGCCCAGGAGTTCCAGGTCAGCTTCCAGCTACAGAGCAAGGCCCCATCTTTAAAACAAAACAAAACAACAACACACACACACACACAATGGAGGTTGGGAGTGGGCAGGGTTATGGGCCAGGACTTTAGTTCCAGCACTAAAGCGGCGGAGGCAGACAGGCAGTCTCTAGCAGTTTGAGGCCAGCCTGGTCTACAGATCGTGTTCCAGGAAAGCCAGGGCTATTCAGGGAAAGCCTCAAATTGTCCTCTGACCTATGCACGCACGCACACACATAAATAAAAGTTAATGTTTTTCAACTTTAGAATTCATGGAGAAAGAGTTGTCATTCTGCCCTTTCTCTTTATTTCATCAGCCTGCTTGCATTTCAGTGGACAGGAAAATGAAAGAAAAAGCAATGAAAAGAACCAGCTCTATCTTTCTTTCTTAAGGCGAATTTTCATACTGGTTAAGGTTGTGCACTATCAGAAAACAGACCCGAGAATTACTTCAAGTTTGTCCTGACGGATTAGGGAAAAAGAAATTACCCAGTTAACAAGTTTTTCCTCCTGAGAGCTTTGAGTGTAGCAAACTAGGGACCTCCAGGCAGAGAGGAAAGTTTTCCAATTTAATCTAAAAAATAAAAATGTTCAACCTATCATAACCCAAACTCATCTCTTGCAGCAAGGAATGAAATGGCTCAATCAGTAAGGGTGATGAACGACACAGGTTAATATCTGGGACAGAAAACAAACAGGAAATAGCTGAAAATAAAACAAAATTGCAAATGCAGATTAACAGGGCATGAAATTAAATGCCCGGCAAACGCACCTGTTGAAGAAAAAGAGGAACGAGGACATCCGAAGTCTTAATTATTCGGTATTAACACTAATTCCTAAGCTGGCAGTGAGTGGAAAACCAGCTAGCTCCTGGCTCAGCCACAACTGCACAGTACTTAAGCTTACAAAACGAATATACTCACAACTGTGTCCCTAGCTACAAAAGAATTCTGCACGGGTTTGTGACTCTTAAGCGCTGCACGCATGTAAGCATCCCCTTACGGCCTTAATTTCATAAATGGGGACAAATTATTTCTAACACTTTGATAATGAAAATGTGCCGAGTGCACCGAAGAATAAATTCAGGTGTGTCAAGCAAAGGGACGGAAAAGTGGGATCTCCTAACACAGACGGTGTCGCCGGCCCGCCACTAACTCAGCACCACAGCCACCCACCGGGGGCCCACTGGGAAGGAGTGTGGTTTTTAACCGTGGCGGTCCTGCCATCGCACCCAGGCCTACTTGCTAAGAGACGGCGGGCTCTCTGTGTCTAATCGCGATGCCCGGGGTGAGGCGGAGCTGGGATCAACACACTTTACCGCCCGCCTGGAACGGACCGCGCCAGCCCGAGAAGCCGCGGCCATCGCGCCTTCTCTCAGCCGGCGAGGGCTTCGCTCCGGGGCTCCCTGCGGACGTTGTCAGCACCGACGTGGAAGCCGGAAGGGCGCGCGGCCCGGCCCTGACTGGCTGGCTCCGCGTGGGCCGGGGCTGCGGTCTCGGCTGCGGCCTGCCCGGGGACCCGCCCGCTCACCGCGTTCTTCTTCTGCACCATCTTGTCCATCTTCTTGGCAATGCGAACCACCTCGTCCTCCATGGCTCCGGAAGGCCTCCGCTCGCCCGGCCGCAGCGGGCGGGAAGCGGGAGAAGCGGCGCGGACGCTCGACGAGCCGGGAGGCACACAGCCTAGGCTTTCCTCACAGACCGGGCCCGCGGCGGCGGCGGCGGCGGCGGTGGCAGCGAACGCTCCGCCCCCTAGGCCGCGCCAGTCGAGCGCCGCACGCGCCGCGCAGGCGCTATCAATCGATCGCGCGGAAGACTGGGAAGGGTGGCTCGTTGGGATCAGGACAGCACAATCCCGCGCCGTCCTGACCTGCTCACGGAGGCAGAGGTCTAGAAGGTCTCTGTTACCGCGACTGGCGTTGCTGGAGAGTTGGAATGGGACTTGCCCGGGCTTTCATGCCGACGGGAGCCCAGCCCTTGGTGGTAGACGGCTATCGGTTCCAACGGAAGCCCTCCGAGTAAGCGTCTTTTGGGGCGCGGAGTAGTCGTGGCTGGTCCATTTTGAAGCAAGAGCTTGAGAGCTCTGAAGTCCACTCTTGGCCTCAGCTGTACTAACCCTCTCACCTGCTGATGGAAACCTACTTAGGAGAGGACGGCCTTGACAAAAAGCCGAGGTAGGAAACTGATTCCGTACGTGTATGTGTACACACACACACACACACACACACACACACACACACACTGTTTTGGGGCTGTTTACTTTGTTCCTGTGTGAAACTTTCTAATAACTCAGGAGCCAATGAACGTTACAGACATTAAGCCTCGAAATGTCTTCTTTCCAATGAAAACCACATACCGTGTCACTAATTAAGCACGTGTCGCCAAACATGGAAGAAGATCGTGTTAAAATAATAGTAACTTCCGCTTTGACCAAACACAGTTTGGATTGTAATGAAGCGTTTCAGCGGCATGTTAATCCACAACTCCTGCTTTCTATTCTCTTTTACCTTTCCTCTCCCTCTTCTTGTGAGGTAATAAAGAGGGGACAAAAATTGTCTCATTGGCACATGAGAAACTAGGTCTCTAGGGGTAAACAACCCCAAACAATGTGTGCGTGTGTATGTATGTATGTGTGTGTATACACATACATACATAATCAGTTAGACCATTTACTACCAATTCGTACTATTCTCAATTATAACTCCAGAAAAGAAAGTATTGCTGCAAAAACCAGTTTTCATCTCAAAGAGAATAGGATATAATTTATTCTGGAGCCATCATGAGTGACCATGACTTAGGAACACAGATTTAATTTATCCTTAATTCCGTGTTTCAGTGTGGAAGCAGTTTCAGAAAAGTTTTATACTTTTACAGAACTAAGCAAGTTAAAAATCAAAGTAAGTTTAGAATATATGGGTGGATATATCAGAGGTGGTTATAGCAAGATGTGGGAAGCTTTTTCTAAAGTTCCAAGATGCAGTCTGATATTCTTAGCTTCTGGGTTGATAGAGCCAGTGTAACTTAAGATTTCAAAAGGTTTATCTATTAGTCACAAGATTGTAGTTTAGACACAGAGGTGGGCCAGGAACGATTGTTCCAGAGAGCATGAAACAGCCCAAGTGATTTTTGAAAGAAAATGGCTCCCAAAGGGAGTGGCACTATTAAGAGGTGTGGCTTTGTAGGTGTGGCCTTGTTGAAGGAAGTATATCACTGTTAGGGATGGGCTTTGAGGCCTCTCACGCTCAAGCTACTCCCAGTGAGACAGTTCACTTCCTGTTCCCTTCTGATCAAGATGTAGACAGCACCATGTCTGCCTGTATACCACTATGCTCCCTGCTAGGATGATAATGGACTAAACCTCTCAACTGTAAGCTGCCACTTCAATGAATTCTTTTATTATAAGAGTTGCTGTGGTCATGGTGTCTCTTCACAGCAAACCCTAAGACATAACCCTCTTAGAAACCCTAAGACAGTGAGTCTGCTGAATTCCAATCTCTCCCCAGTACTGTGGCTGTGATTGGTCCTTAAGTCTGCAGAGCTGTAGCTGTAGCCTGACAACTTGTAGTATGCTGTTGAATAAGTAAACATAGTTCTTTTTCTTGTCCTTGACCTCAGGGGGAAAGCTTTGTCTTTTCGTCATGAAGTAGGATGTTGGCTGTTTTTTGTAGACACTCCTCAGCATGCTATATTCCTTGTCTTAATTTGTCGTATCATAACTTAGTGTTGAGGTGATTAGGTGCTATTTTCCTTTATCCTATTTGCTAGTTTCCTGCTGAAGGACTTACTATAGGTCCCAGCTTCCCTTGCTGACTATGGTAGTCATCCCCACCCATTTAGCCATCTGTACACATGGGTGACAAGATGTCCCCTTGACCTGAATAAATATGGTTCCACTTAGATCAGACCAAGCCTGTCTTCCTGCCTTCTCTTTCTATAAATGCTTTAAAATAATAATAATAAATCTAACACTACAAATGTGTATACAGCTGGTTTTATATGTTGAACCACTCTTAAATTTTGGATAACCCAGTTTTAAATATGATCTTAGATTGGGTTTGCTTGTATTTTATTTAAAAAATTTATCACAAAAAAAATTATCACAATCTCTATTGATAAAGAATGGAAACCTATAGTGGGGCCTTGGTACCTGGGGTAATACTAGTTTCATAGACTGCTTGGAGATGTTTTTCCATGTAGTTTGATATAGTTGAAACTCAAAAAAAAAAAAGTATTGTTGTGGAAGGACAGAATTACAATGTGAAGATCTCAGTTGGCTGCAACACCTCTTTAGCATTAACAAGATTCCATCCCACTGAGGTGGAACCCAGTGATGGGCTCATCACAAGAGCTGTTACATGGGCAGGAAAAAAGGTGTAGGGAGCAGAAATTAAAGAACAATTTAAAAAATTAGATTGCTGAGTTACTTTCCTTGTAAGCTAGGACAAAGAATAATTTAAGATACAGTCAACACGTGTCTTTTATGTGAGGACTAAGGAGAGTGAATTTCCTTATACTGAAACTAGGTTTTTTTGTTTTTTTTTTTTTTTGTTTTTTTGTTCTTGGTAAATTTGACTTTCCCCTTCATATCTGGGAAGATCAGATAGTTTTGAGTTTGGATTAAGTGGCTCCATTTTGGTATATGCTGGGCTATAGTGCAGTCTGGAATAATGAAAACAGCCTCCTACCGTTTTTAATGTTATAGATTGATAGAGTTCAATCGTCTCTTTAACCATCTAGCTTTTCTTTGTGGATTTTTTTTTTTTTGATCCAAGTTCATTGTTTCTGTCTTCTTAGAGCCAGACTGGGCAGTTTGTATAAGAATTTATTTCATTTTTATCTAGGTTGTTTAATATTTTCACAGCACTGTGGGTTGGACCCATGACTTCATACTTTCTACCCATAGCCCACTTTTCACACATAAGAGTTGTTCATAGTATTGTAATTCTTATTTCATTAAGTGTGCCATGTAATTTTGTCAACTTGACATAAACTGAAGTCATTTGAGAGAAGGAAGGCCCAATTAAGAAAATGCCCCTATAAGATTGGGCTGCAGCAAAACCTATAAAGCATTTTCTTAGTGACTGATGGGAGAAGGCCAAGCCCATTGTGGGAGATGTCATCCCTAAGCTGGTGGTCCTGGGTTCTCTAAGAAAGCAGGTGGAGCAAGCCATGAGGAGCAATACAATAAGCAGTACCCCTCTGTGGCCTCTGCATCAGCTCCTGCCTCCAGGTCCCTTCCCTGTTTGAGTTCCTGTCCTGACTTCCCTCAGTGATGGACTCTTACCTATGAGCTGAAGTAAAATTCCTCTCCAAGCTGCTTTGGTCATTATTTCATCATAGCAATAATAACCCAAAGTAAGAAAGTAACTCTTTATTTTCCTTAATTCAAAGGCTTTTCAAAAAAACTTTTGGTTTTATTGATTCTTCTTCTAATCTATCAATTCTTTAAGATTTTCTTCTAGGTTTCAGACTGGGCTTTGAAGAGGAGCTACCACCATTAGTGTTGTGTGCTGTGTCTTTGCATCTGCAGGAAACTGAAAAGAGATCAGGGCGAACTTCAACACCACGACATGAAGACAGTGACCTATGATGATGTTCATGTTAACTTCACTCTGGAAGAGTGGGCTTTGCTGAATCCTTCCCAGAAGAATCTGTACAAAGATGTGATGCTGGAGACCTACGGGAACCTAACTGCTGTAGGCTACAGTTGGGAAGACAAATATACTGAAAAATATTGTCAAAGTTCTAGAAGACATGGAAGGCATGAAAGAAATCATACTGAAGAGAAACTGTTTGAAAATACTCAATGTGTTAACACTTTTCCATATCACAGTCGTCTTCAGATACATAAAAGAACACATGCTGGAGAGAAACCCTATGAACGTAATCAGTGTGGTAAAGCCTTTTCACAACACAATAATCTCCAACATCATAAAAGAATACATCCTGGAGAGAAACCTTATGAATGTAAGCAGTGTGGTAAAGCCTTTGCATATTATAGTCATCACCAAAGTCAAAAAAGAACACATGAATGTAACCAGTGTGGAAAAGCCTTTACACGTCATAATCATCTACTAATACATAAAAGAACGCATACTGGTGAGAAACCCTATAAATGTAATCAGTGTGGTAAAGCCTTTTCACAAAACAGTAATCTCCAACATCATAAAAGAATACATTCTGGAGAGAAACCTTATGAATGTAAGCAGTGTGGAAAAGCCTTTACACATCATAGTCATCTTGTAATACATAAAAGGAAGCATACTGGAGAGAAACCGTATGAATGTAAGCAGTGTGGTAAAGCCTTTTCACAACACAGTAATCTCCAATATCATAAAAGAATACATTCTGGAGAGAAACCGTATGAATGTAAGCAGTGTGGAAAAGCCTTTACACGTCATAGTCATCTTGTAATACATAAAAGAAAACATACTGGGGAGAAACCGTATGAATGTAAGCAGTGTGGTAAAACTTTTGTATGTCAGAGTAGTCTCAAAATACATAAAAGAATACATACTGGAGAGAAACCCTATGAATGCAACCAATGTGGTAAAGCCTTTGCGTATCACAGTAATATCAAAATACATGAAAGAATTCATGTTAGAGAGAAACCTTATGAATGTAACCAATGTGGTAAAACCTTTTTACGTCATGCTTATCTTCAGCAACATAAAAGAACACATACTGGAGAGAAACCTTGAAATTTAATCGATGTGATAAAGCCTTTGCATATTACAGTCATCACCAAAGACATAAAAGAAGACATACTGAAGAGAAGCCCTATGAATACAATAAATGTGGTAAAGCCATTACACAACACAGATATGTTCAATGCATGAAATAACTCACACTGGAGGGGAATCTAATGAATGTAATCGGTGTGACAAAGCATTTGTAAGTTAAAGTAGTCTAAAACTTAAAAGAACTCATATTCATACTAAAGAGGAACCTTGTGAATGTAATCAATGTGGTAAAACCTTAGCATGTATCAGTAGTCTTCAAAATACTGAGAAAAAAAACATACTGCAGAGAAACCCTATTAATGTGGTCAGTGTGGCAGAGTTATACAGTTCATGGTAGTCTTTACACAAGAGTAAACATTTACTATGTACCTGGGCTTTTAATGCCTGTACATATCACATAAATCTTTGATGATCTGAAAAAATGCATACTATAGGAAAAAATACTATAAAGGATTTGGTAAGATCTTTAGTTAATATACCTACATTCCATTACACAAGATTATTTTTTTCTGGAAAAACAAAACCTGGCAAGTATCAGCAATTTGTTAAAGAATTATGATGTCTTTGTACATGCACACTCACATAGACAAAAGCCTATGAGTTCAAATTATAAAGTAACCCTTTTAGATTTCATACTTCTTTTTAATCATAGGAAATAGGAAATCCATGAGTAAAACATTACGGGTATTACTAGTGCATTTTCTGTTGCCGTGATAAAGCAATGTCTCAGTCAACTTACAAAAGAGTTTAATTTGTCCCTTGGTTCCAGACAGATACAGGATCATCAAGAAAGTGACTTGGTAACAATTGTCAAACCTGGCAGTTGGCAAGACACTGCACTCTTCCATCCTCAGCCTGAGCCATCAAACAGAGTAGAAACTGGAAATGGTACATGACTGGAACCTCAGGCCCACGCCGAGGGCCATATTTCTTCAGCAGGGCAGCATTTCCTAAAACTTCCCGAATGGGAACACCAGCTGAGGATTGATTTCAGCTGATTCAAGCCTACATGCCAGCTTTCTTTTTCATGAACTACTTCAATGAAGAAGAACTCTGCAAGCCTTTAAATGTCTCAATACCCATTACAGGAATGAATGCTTATAATAGAAAACCGTTCAAGAGAGAACGTTTGTGTAAAGACTTGTTTAAATTTAGGTAATGCAATATCAGTGTGTCTTTGTTTGGATATGTACATTCTGATTACTAAGGTTAGACCCTCAAAACATCTTGCAGCATGAATTACAGGAAGTTGCCAAAATTCTGTCTTTGTTCCTGAGAATGCTAAGAATAAGCGCAGCCATGTCTCTAGCCCTTTAAATATTTTAAAGCCTTGATATCAGGAACTAGGGAAGAACTCATACAAGAGAAAAATCCTATTTATGTAAATGATTTTGTAAAGAACTTAGATGTCACAGTTTCTTCAGGTTAAGGAAATAAAGCTTATTTCATCTATTTTCATTAAAGCCTTGAAACAAACTACATAGCATGTTGACTCAAGATTGATGTGGAGATCACGGCATTGTGCTTTCTAGTTTTCAACATTTGAGGTGGATATCAAAGTGTGCTGTGTGTGGCACATCTATTTAGGCAAATTTAATTTGTGTTCCTTATATTCCTTCTGTGGCCTTTGTTCTTTGTCCTTTCACTTAGAGACATATTTTTTTATTGCAATGTGTAGAATGGGATGCCCATTCTTTTCAAATAAGGGTGTCTGGGAAAGGGTGGTGGGTTGCCATTCTATTTTTTTTTTCAAATTTTGACAAATCCCCCTTAAGATGTTTGTTATCCAGCTGAGATTGGATGCCAGTAACCTGTCTGCAACACAGTTGTACTCATGAGCCTTATTTGTTAGGCCCTCAGTAGAAGTCCCAGGGTAGATAATATATCCTCAGTGTTTGCTCTATTGTCAACATGTTTTAGAAATGTTAACATTAAAATTCTTAAGAGGGGAGAATGTATGGAACACTAAATACCTCATATATGTATCCAAAGCAGCATTTTCATTTCACTGATAGAGACATCAAAAGGTTAGTCATCTATCAACTATATACATTTTACAGTATAGCTTAGCATTCTATAGGTTATATATGTTACTTATAGGTAGTATATGTTCCATGCATCTTTGTGTCCCTAATGGGACATTTGACACTTTATCTTGAAGTATTGCCTTCTCAGGGAATAATCCAGAGATACCTATTTGGCACTGACAATAATAATTATTCATTTTAATTTCTGTCTGGTGTGTGTGATGTGATTGTGGGTTTTTAGGACATGGCATATAAGTGAAGACCAGAAGACAACTTTGTGGAGTATACTTTATTTCATATGCATATGGTGATCAAGATAAGATTACCAACCTTGCACACCATAGACGTTTCCTCCTGATTTGTCTCACTAATTCTCAAATAAGGTAAAATATTGTCTTCTTTTCAGACTGTTAACATTTTCATTAAAGCATAGAGTAAAACAGGAAAATTGATTAATAATTGTAACACCCGGTTTTGGTGTTACACCCTCGGTACAGTTTGCGCGCAGCTGTACCGAATGCGAGTCCCGGCAAGGGCCTGGAGATTGAACACAAGACACAGAGACCAGGGTCATTCGATAGGAGATCAAGCGAATGCCGTTTATTCAGACTTGGGGAAGCCCTTTTCTACCTAACTGCAGCACAAAGATCTCTCCGCCCAGGAAGGTGGGAAATTACCATATTAACAATGGAGAAGATTGCCTGCAGCTAAATCACCAGGTGGGGCAGGGATAGCACGGAAACACACAGGAAGCTTAGTTAACTGATAACAAACTGTCCCCGCCAATGCACCCCAGGAATAAGGGAGACCAGGCGCCCACAAAA